AATTTGTTGAATTGCTGCTGAGTCTGACTTTAATTTTGCTCTTACATGAATTAATTTAAATACAAATTAAAAATAGTAGAAAATGCCTACTTTATTCAGTATATTATGCTCTTAAATGATTAATTTAAATAAAATTAAAAATAGTACTTTATTCTTCAGTATACATTTATTCAATTTCCCAATTTATTTATAATTTTTTGCAATATATATAAATACAATATTTTATAACAATTGATATTCCTTAAAATGCACAACTTCAGCTAATTCTCCATTTAGTCTAATATCATAATTTAAAACAAATATTAATGCACCTTTATCTAAAAAAAAAAAAAAATGAAAAAATGAAAAAAATGGAAACTGTTCGTTATCAACATGATATGTTTTTAATGTTCACATATATTTCATTTCAGTGACCATTGCATGTCATGTCGACGGCCAGACACATATCATGCCGAAGGCCCGCCCATCTTGAAGCATACTCGAGCTATTCGTGTCCAGGCGAAGCTTGGCCAATGCTTTCCAGCTGAACCATGGCATTTGTACATGGCTATGTTGGCATATACATATAAATACAGGTGTAGTGTATCCTGTTGCTTTCGTGTTGGCAACGGCTGACAGCGAGGGCGGTAGCGAGGGCGGCAGCGAGGGTGCAGCAGGGACCAACAACCCGGGCAAGTTACAATGTCACGCACACATATTTCCTGTCATTCTAGCGTTTATTTCCTCACAACGCTTTATTTACTTCTTCTTTGTTGTTATTGTTGTTGCTTCTTTCTATTTTTATTATCGCATCCTTGTTAACACGTGCGTTTGTTTCCCCATTGTTGTTGTTATTGTTTGTTATTATTGTTGCTGTTTGCTGCAGTGCGTCCATGTGGCTGTGCCCCCGGGGATATTCAAGTTTATCAAGCCAACGGATCTTTGTTATATGTACGACCAAAAAGGTGGGCGTTTTTTGGGGGCGCGGCTGGTCCGGCTGTTCGGGTCGGGTTACCAATTGACGTCCATTGACGTCCATAATATAATTATATGTTGGCATGACATGTTACGTGCAAGTGTCGTTTAGAACAATTTTTACACATTTCAGTTGGTCGGACGGGC